GGCCATAAATTGAAGTAATCCTAGAGATACAAGAAAATTTGATTATAGATATTCATATAGACTTGATTAAATTTAGGTGGCAGAAAATAGATAATTATTTAATAACATATTCAATGAACTTAACTATATGTACACTTATATTCCTCCAAAAAATCACATATTTTGTCAACACTGCCAACATACATTATGTATTTGGCTGCTCAAATAATGTTCATAATTAGAGAATTACAGTTCACAGTCTCTTATCATAATAAGTAATAAAAGTGAACCAAAAAGATCTAATAACATGTCCTAAAGCAAGGTTCTCATTTCAAACATAGTGGCAGAACACCATCATGTCTCATGCTAAGTTTTGGATTATCCTCAAATTGTATGACATTTTCCTCAATGATACATTCTTTACAAAGCATGTAGAAGACATCATATAAAGCCATAAATCAAATTCAATTTAGCATGACAATGAATAGTTCATTCAAAAGTTACAGAAGAAGTGAATACTCAAAATGACCAGTACTTTAGTAAATTTAATGCTCTGCTTTAAACAGAAAATACTGATTACCATTTTGAAGTGTTTTTAAACTATTTTAATTTTACAGGAAAACTAACATGACATGGATATTCTCAGTTGATTTTGCACACAGAAGTAAGGAGAGTGATGATTGAGTTATTTTCTAGAACACAAGATTAAAATGCTATAAGGAGAATTTAAGTTGGTGTAGAAATTTTGGGACTAGAGAGAAGATGGGATTATACTCATGTTTATTTATATTCCAGTATGGATTTTTGAACTTTATTTGTTTCAAAAATTATTAAACTGCCATATATCATAATGGTTAAAATGGGGATGGTAGAAGAAAACCATTAGCAAGCAAGTGACATAGCCATCTGAAACGGCTTATTGAGAATTATTCTAAAGCAAATTATGGAGTAAAGATGGATTTTGAGTGCCTTTCCAATTCCTCAGTAGTAGCCTGTAAGTATAAAATGACAGATATGATTGTCAATATTTTGGTTAATAGAAAACTGTTATTTGAAATAAATAATCTGACACCTATGATACCTGTGTGAAATAATACTATATTAACTTCAACACAAGAGCCTGAGGGTGATTTCTCACGATTTTCTAAGTAATTTAGGAGAGTTTCAAGCTTTCAGGCTTCCCAGACTTTAAACTGAAAGCAGTATTTTTCCACATTGCTTTAGTTAGAGAACTCTGGAGAGACAGACCACTAGGATAAAGATTCAGAGATTTATTAGGGGAATTACTTGATTATAGAGCCAGAGAATTTTCACAGTAGATGTCCAAGGTAAGCCATCTGCAAACTGAAAGACTGAAAACCTTGGTTGTGTGGTTCAGTCCAAGTCTTAAGTCCTCAGAACCAGGGATGGAAAAATTCAGTCTGAAAGTGAAGGCTCAAGAGTTGGGGAGGAGGGGATGGTGTGTGTGTGTGTGTGTGTGTGTGTGTGTGTGTGTGTGTGTGTGTTGGGAGAGGGTTTGATCAGTCCCAGAATTAGGAAAACCTGGAGCTCTGACATCCAAAGACAAGAAAAGGAAGGACACTCTGCCATAAGACAGAAAATTTATGCTTCCTCCACTTTTTTGTTTCATCTCTGCCCCAAGACAATTGGATAGTGTCTGCCCACACTGAGGGAAGATATCCCCAATAATCCACCAACTGCCATGCTGATCTCATCTGGAAATAGACTCAGACACATCTGAGGCAGCGCAATCATTCTCATCAAAAACAAAAGGTTTCCCTTTCAGCAGTACAGAAATGAGTGCAGAGCCTCCTGAAACCTCTAGCATAAATGGTGCTTTACCAGTTATGTGGACACTCTTCAGCCAGTCAAACTGACAGGTAGAATCAACCATGACACACACTGACATCAGATTTAAAGCAGTCATTCAGGAATTGCTTAAAACATTTACTGGGTAACCACTATGTTTGAGGCACCTTATTAAGTGCTAAGAGTCCAAGTGACTGATATCTATCTTAATGGAAAGTGTAACAAAGAGAAGAATATAATTCAAAGTACAAATACAGGCTTCTTTAGAAAAAGCAATCCTTTCTTGAATGTTTGCTTCTCTATTTCTCTGGTCCTAACACACAGGTCTTAATTTTGACTGCTGATGAGAACTTATGGTGAAGTGTTTCTTAAAATGCTGACAATAATCTCTTCTCCCACTTCCAGAGATGCCAGTGAGATTTTTAGAGTGGAGAGCAGGCTTCTATATATGAAAAAATTCTAAAAGTGATCATGGTATATGGTGGATATTAAGAACCATTTGAACCAATATTTGGGAAAGGAATGTTAGTTTTCCTCCTTTCTCTCCCATCTTCTGAGGCTGCAAGCTCATTGGAAGCATGGTGTCATCAAATCATCCTTCTTACTTGGAAGACTGGGCACACTTCTCCAATCTGAGGTTCCCTCAAATGTAAAGATCATGGCAGTTAGGAAGAGGTGAAGAAGACAAGAACTTGGACTACAAGATACCCAGAAAAGTCTGATTAAAGAACAACTGTTACAACATGACCTCATAATTGCTTTTGCTCTGTCTCAATCTAGTCATAGGATTGCTAGTTATGTCACACAGCATTCATCTCAGAAGGTGCTGTACTTTCTATGATTTATATTCAAGTCCTTCAAAGCATCATTTCTCCTACTGTCTTCCTCATCCCTGATTTCCTCAAATCTGAGCTTTCTTTTTTTTTTTTTTTTTGGTACTGGGGATTGAACTCGGGACCCTGTGCTTGTGAGGCAGGCAGCGGAACCACTGAACAAAATCCTTGGTCCAATCTGAGCTTTCTTGAAAGCCTCTCATATTTTCTGTTTGGCTTCCTGGTTATTATTAATTTAACATGTCATTTGTTTACATTTTACCCTTGAAATTATGCACACGTGGTTTAATTCCTCTTCTACTTATCACAGGACATTTTCTTCTGAGAAGCCTCTGGATCACAATGGCTCCCTCTCCCCAGATTCTCCTTGGCCTTCTTGTCCGTAGCACTCCCCATGCTTAGAACTTCGTGTGCTCTCAATTCATTGGATGTAATTTGGATATTATCGCACAAGCATGTGATTCTGAATGCATAATAAATACTGGTTCTGTTATTACCCTTTTCATGAATCTAAGTAAATTATAAATTGCTTGTCTACAAAGTCATTATTTCTGCAAATTCAAGAAGGGGCCATGGTATGTAAACTTTTACTTATCAAAAATCCTGAAGTTGACAGCTCCCAGCGCAGAGGAGGCTTCTGAGTCAATGTGCCACACCACAGCTTCCAGCGCCTGCAATATTTTTCCAATGCTTCTATAAATGTAAAATTGTTTCCAAATAAAAATTTAAAACATGAAAAACTACATTACAAAATAAATTTATGCCTCTTTATCTTGATTCAGTTCTTAACTATGACCAAAACCTTGACCATGTCCACAAAAAAGAAAAATATAAATATAATTAGGATTGCCTTTCATTAAGAGTGATCATTTTATTACAGAATACAAAAGCAGCCTTGTCTGTAAGCTGCCACACCTTTATTGTCAGGAAATCTGCAAAGCATTATTCCTATGGGATGAAAATTACAATTTCTGTGAATTTTTCTTGGCATAGATATTCCTAAAACTTCTCTTCACAACCAATAGTTTCATCTTAGACTGATCACGCAGTCCAACTTATTTATTTTCATTTTGTAGTTAAGAAAGACAATGGAAATTATGATTATATATTCTTTTATAGTTTGCAAAGCAGTCTTAAATTTCTTTTATTTTTATTAGTACCTGTTTGCAGTACTTAATTTTACATTTTTTGTGTGAGGAGTTGGTGCATGTGCTATGGCACATGTTAATTCCTTTTTTTAAAAAAATCTCCTCCCTCTATCTCTTGATCTCCTTCCCATTTGAGAAAATCTATCTCCCTACTTTCTAGTAGTTATCTTTTATTTTTTTCTTTTTTATAATTTGAGTTTCTCATATAAAACAAACCAAGTGATATTTAAACTTACATATCTGATTTATTTCACTTAACATTATGGTCTCGAGCAGTTTTACATTTATGCTTCACTCTATCCCTATGAGATTGGGTAATGATTGTTAGCATCAGTGTTTCATAGATTTCACAATCCAGGCTCTGAGATGTGAAGTTGTCTGGGGGTTGAGAGCCAGTTGTTAGCTGGTACTCACTCTTCCCTGTCTGCCCAAAACTGTCCTATACTTTTGGAAAGCAAAACTGAAAAGCCAATTTCTCTTGCCCTGGTAGACCAGAAAACAGGGCAATACATACAACGCAATAGAGAGTAACAATAGCCTGGCTTTATTTTATTTTAATGCTAGGCTAGAACATTTGCTAAGAATTTTCTTTTTTTTTTTTTTTCCAGTGACAGTCTTTTTATATTTAAAAACAAAACCAACCTTCCCCCACAACCCCCTGCCCCAAACAAACAAAAAACTAGATTAAAGTTTACAGTGAATACACCCAGCAAACATCTGTATATGCAATTAAATACTGTGTCTGTTTCTGCAGCATGAACCTCAAACAAACAATAAGTGTGGAGTTTGAGGAAATAAGAAGGGGGAAGTGAGAGAATGGGGAAATCAATTTTTTTCTTAATTCTGTCCATATAAATATATTCATAGAGACTAAAAAAAGGAAAGGGAGCTTAGGGTGGTGAGAAAATAGAAGAGGGGAGCGTGGGACTCTTTTAATTCTACCTGACTAAAAATTATAAAAGAAATTAATTTCATTGGGGAAGAAAAGATAAAAAATGACAGAAGAGGATGGGAAGGAGAGGGAAGCAGAGGGGGGCCAACCAGGGAGGAATGGGGTACCCATGGCAGGGGAGTGTGGAAGGAGTCCAGTGCCAATGGGAGTCTGTTTCTTCATCCCTAATGTCTTAGGCTTTAGTTTGTATTCATCTCTTTACTTCCCACCTCTGTCCCACCTTAGCCCCCTCCACCACTACCCCCAGCCAGTCCCTTTCCCTCTTCTGTTTATTGGGACCTGGCTCTCCAGTATCCTCAGGTCATAGTTCTTTCTGGCCACTTGAAGTTTGAAGTGACTCACAGAGTTGTTGAGGCAAAGGGAGGCATTTTGGGCAGCCAGGGGGCTGGGGAACACAGCCATGATGTGACGGGACCCGCCGTCACTAGTCGAACAGTACCTGAGAGGAGGGGTGAGGATGAAAGAAAAAACACAATTCAAAAGAAAAAAGACAGAGTCGTCCGGGCTCCTAAGACCGAACTCCGAGTTTATTTTTCTCTTCCCTTTTATACAACCCGTGAGTTTGTTACAGGTGAATTTGGTTGTTACAGCTGAGTTTGGTTGTTACATCATGACCCGTATCCAGGGACACCTGCTTCCCTGCTTTCCAGTCCCTTGGCAATTCCCCACCCTCATGGGCCTTCCCGTTTCTCGGGGCTACAGAACGTTCATCACATTCCAGGGCAATCTCTGAAGGTAAACATCCAATTTAGGTAAGGACGCGGTTCCTCATAACATAGTCTCCATGAAATGGAGGGTAAGATTCAAAATGGAGTCTCCTTAGCTACCACCGCTCCCCACAATGATGGTGTACAAGGCAGTGAGGTCCAAGAGGCAGCTGTTTTCAGCAGTCCCACTGTTGTCCCGTCCCCCCCCCCCCAGCATCTTTGAGCCACTGGATCTTGGCACTGACACGATGAGCTGAGTGAAGAGTTTGTCTGCTTCAGTACTGGTGATGCCTTAAGGGAGATCTGTCACATCCAACATCTGCTGTCCATAGGTCAGTGGAGGCAGACATGAGTGCTTGTCTTTTGCCCCAGTTTCCATGTTTCAATCTGTTTTCTTCTTGATGCACCAAGTGTGTTGACTGACCACAGAGCAAGGGAGGGCAGATGGACAGATTGTGCTGTAGTGGGTGGCCTAAAGGGAGTAGCGCCCATCACCTTGTGCTGAACTTCCAGGCCAGGGGAACTGTGTGAGGATAGGCAGGGAACTGAGTCCTGTGCAGATGTTGCTGAGGCTGGTGACAAGACAGAGTGCTGGAGACTGAGTAGGAGAAGTGACAGGGTTGTTGCTCATTTGTGTGTTGGCCTGAGGTTATTGTCAGGACTGCACAGGTCTCCAGGATTCTGACCCTGCTGGTCCATGCTATAATATTCTACAATGATTCCACTGGAGCATGGATAGGTTCTGGAGAGGTTGGGGTCCATTGGGGATGTTCAGCTGCATGACCACCACACCTTGTCCAGAAGGTAACACTCCTGAGTACTGCTGTAGCATCTGTGGTAGACTGTAGGGAGAGGGAGACTGAGGCATCTGGTACTGCTCAGAGCCAGGAGGCTGCAGAAACCCCACCGAAGGGCTTGTACTGTTCTGCTGAATGGGTGAGATCATGCTGTAGTACACAGGCACGCCAGCTTCAGCGAGTCCTCCTGGCACAGATTAACTCACAGGACCAGCATAGGTTGCTAGAAAGGTGGCTGGACCACATTTTGTGAGTCACTGCCCACTGAGACTTGGTAAGAAGACAGTGGAGTGTACTGAACCATCAGGCTTTGCATCTGGCTCCCATACTGTTCCTCTGGTTGCTGAGCAGGCCCTGGTTCTGGGGCTGCTGGACCCCAATCATGCCTTGGTAAGCCTCCTGATGCTGAGTAGGCATCATGGGCTGTACCCAGGCTTCTGGGTTGGCTGAGGCAGCTGCTGACCATGCTGGGGCCTATAGACCACCGGGTAAGAGAGAGGTTGATATTGCTAATTGGAGTTAGCATGCTGTCCAGGAGGATAGTAAGAAACCTGGATCTGTTGAGGGGGATACATACAGCCCTGGAGTGGCAGGACTTGCTGAGCAGGTGGTGCATGGCTAGAGGTGGCATAGTTGGAAGTGGGGAGGGGCTGTCCCGGGGAAGCCATGATGAAGCTAGACTGCTGAGGGTGCTGGGAAATAAGGGCGGGGGCCTGTAATAGAGCTGAGGATGGGTCAGCTGCTTCAGTAGAACCTTGGTGGCTAAGACTCATCTGTCCAAAGGGGTTGCTGAGACCATCGCCTGTGAGATCATGTGATTATTCAAGGGTGGCTGTGCTGAGATGTGGGTAGAGAGCAGGAAGTTGCTGTTGCTGCTGCTGTTGTTGCTGGGAGTACAAGGGAGAAGGCCCCAGACAGACTGGGGTGAGGTGACCCGGTTGTACACTTCTGAGGCACCTAGTGCCATACCTGGCCTGGAGAGCCTTCCTGTACTGCCACCTTTACTGCTGCCAATGCTGTCACCTTGGGTGAGGATAGAGATTCCGCTGAAGCTGATGGCTTTGGTGACAGGGGGTTGCATGCTTTGGACAGAGCCATCTGAGTCTGTACTGCTCCAAGGCTGGGACTCCAAGGATTTGAGTTCACTGTCTTGGTGTTCTGGCAGCTGCTTGAGGTTTGGCTCAGCCCTTCTCAGTTCCCCTGATGTCATTTAGATATCCATTCTGGCCAGTCTCTCAGGCAAAAATTCTCTCTTGGACCCTTTGATATTTCTCCTCTCTCTTTTGTGTTGACTTGCTCCTCCTTCCATCCTGCAATGGAACTCTGATCTGGTTATCTTCTCGGTCCATACTGGTATCATCTCTCTTGAGACTGAATCTCTGTTGGAATTCTGTATTCCTCTCATCCTTTATATGTTCTGAGAATCTCCATTCAGGGATTTTTGTGTTGCTGGTCTTCTGGTTGATGACAGTTTGATCAACATTGTGGTCCATCCCAAAATAGGCAGCTACCCACTGTAATAGCATCTAGTGATATGAGGTCATCTGAGGAAACTACTTGAACTGGTTATTATTGTCATTAATAAATGCCAGAATCTCCTGTTCTAATTTTAGCAGCATCATTCTGTCCCTTGGGGTTTTTTTTCAGTGTATTTACAAGAAATTCATGTAAATCTATTCCAGTGGAGTGTGTATAATCTTGGCTAGAGTCACTGAACAGCATTTTCCTTGGGGCCTTATTTTTTCTTTTGTCCTTATCCTCCTTTTCAGAGACATCTTTTTTGGGATTTTCTTCCTCTTTGTCAGAGGGGCTGCTGATGTGCAACTGAATTATATCCTGGGCTTCTAATGGCCCATCAGCGAATGGAGTAAAGAACTCCTCACATACTGCCAGACTGTGTACTAACTTCAGCTTGGGATTAGACTTGGCTCTTTTCCTGGCATGACCATCGTTTGAGGACCACCTGTGTGTGTCCTGATGCACACTGGTCTCTTCACCTTCTTATCCATCCAGATGAAGGATTAACTGTATTTATTAAGTATGTCTTGGAGAGATACTTCAGGAAGGATAGTGAATAGTGAATAGCTTCTAGCAATTCATCTCATGCCTCTGCCCACTGAGGGTCCCACAGCTGCTAATCTGTGGCTGGGCTGTTCTGGCTGGCAGCTTAGCACTTCTGGGGGCAGGTTCTTCTTGGCTGGGGTTCTCTGGAGGGGACCCAGGGCTGGGGAGCAGGGGGACAAGGTGGGGGAGGGGAAAGGGGCCTGGAAGAAGAGGGGAAAGGCTGGGCAAACCTGGAAAGGGAAAGAAAGGGGGAGGGGAAAAATCAAAAGGGAAAGAAAGGCCCACAGTCCACCCTCTCCTGTAGCCTGCATGCTTCTAAGTATTTTCTAAATAGCTAATCTCATTTAATGTTTTTTTCAGTTTTTAGACTGTTGATGCAGAGACAGAGCAGATTGTTGTCTGAGTATGGAATGGGAAGGAAAGAGGGGTGCATAATTCTTTGTGATGGTAATAAACTTTGGTGTCATGGAATGTGCTGGAATCATTACCAAAAAACGTGCAGAAAGAGAAACATAAGGGAAGATGATTTCATTTTTAAATATGTCCTGTGCGTACTATCAATATGCCATGTGTGCACTCTGTAGTATCTGCTCTTTGACTTTTTAAAAACACTTAGAATAATTTGTCAAGGTTTTAAAAACATGTTGAAAGTGCTTACTGTTTTCTTGGCTTGAAAGATTGGCATCTTATCAAAAATGAGACGATAAACTCAGAACTTTGAGCAGACTCGAGTAGCCACTTGTCTGGCATGATGTAAGAGCTTCCCTAAGCAGGTTTCTGAAGATTGCAATGGCTTTACCAGCTTCCTTTAGTCTGGTGAAACATTCCTTTGAAAAGCAAATGAAACTAGAATTACAGTGTGTGGGGCAGACAGATGTGGAGGGGTAAATGATGGGGATTAACCAGGTGAAGCTTGCTGACACAAAGTCTGATTTGAGTTGTGCTACAGAAATGTGTGGGTACTTACTAGAGCACATGAGTTTCCCTTCTCTGTAACCCATAAGGACACCCTCTGGGGTGGAAGGGAGTGAGGAGAGACAGTGCACACGAAGCAATCTCACAGCAGTTGATCAAGTGCTGCTGAAAGGACCAAAGCTCAGCCGGCTGGGAGGAAGAAGTTCAGGAGAGCTGTGAACAGCATGAGAATGGCAGTTACAAAAGCCATACTGCAGTATCGAATTTGCCCAAAGACTAGATCTTACACTTCCTCATCACAAAGAATGACATGTACGTTTATGAGCTCAATTTAGCTATTTCATAATGTTCACATATTTTAAAACATATCGAATACTTCAAATATATATGATTTTTACTTATCAAGTAAAAATGAAGTTTTAGTGCACACTTTTACAGTCCTGATAATTGCTTTACTTTTCAAATGAAAAAGATTTACTCATAGGCAGAGTAAGCAGAATGACTATTTTGGAATCCAGTATGTTCACACTCACACTTTCACAATTCTTCCATATCAAATCCTTGCTAATTTTCCTTCCGTCAGAACAGGAAGGGGCTATTAATGCTGAATGTTTAGAATTCCAGATGTGTTTTTAAGGAATAATCACTTCTTTTTAAATATAGGGTGGTGTGATGCATCGTAAAAGGATGTTCCTACTTTATCAGAATTAGCAGCTAAGCCCCAGATTGGAACAACATGGGCTGAGTCCTCACAGCCTTAGTTTCACAGAGCCTTCAGGTACTGGGACCTGCAGTCTCCTTGAGCACTGTGTACCTTTTTATGGGTAATAGATTTTCTCTTCCACAAGATACTGTGGAAAAAGGAGGAAAGGTCAGGAATGGACTTTGCATTTGTTAATGGTACATGGAATAATATGGACTAATTTTCATTGCTTAAGTCAACTAAAAAGCTGAATGACATAGTAAAAAAACCTTAAAGCAATCAAAAGGTTAATAAAATAGTGAGAAATTACTAGGTCAAGAGAGAAGAGATGATGGGAATCTAGACTGGAAGACCCAGCATTTGGGCCATTTCCTTTACACTTGGTAACAGAATGGTATGTTTGATAGGTGGTTGGGCCAGAGGACTAAAGTTGGAGTCTGAGGACACCTAAAGTGGGAATTCTGGAAAACTTCACTATTTTAGCTATTTAGGACTACTTTAGCTATTTAGTACTATTTAGCTATTTAGTACTCTGGAGTACTACTCAGCCATCAAGAACGAGAAGCTAAAGACATTTATTTATAGCTAAATGGATGCATACTGAGGCCATCCTCTTAAGTGAAATAAATAGGACACATATGTATAAATACTGAATAGTTTCTCTAGTGTGAGAATCTGAAAGTGTAATTAAGGATTAAAATGATTAAAATAAATAATGGATAATTTGAAATATGAAGAAAATGTTCAAAGGGGTAAGGGCAGCAGGAGGGGAAGGGGAGAGACCAGGTTACAGGCTGGAATCTGGAAAGACTCCATGTATAGATTGTATTTAAAACTATAGGAAGAGATGTAGATAGAGACTAGGCTGGAGCTCATCAGTGGATTGGGAAGGAAGAGTCACTGAGATCAAAGGAGAGAAGGTTATGTTTCCAGAAGAAGCACATACAACTATGTATAGTACAAAGTACTTGATAGTGTGATAAATGACTGTTACTGTTTTAGGTACTTATCATAACATGCTGTGTTTTTCATCCTTTAGAGCATAATCCTACTGATACAAAAGAGTTTACTGTAAAACAGCATGCTGCTATGCCAGTGGTAGCCTCATGTATCTCATGTTTATCTGCGTATTTGGATAATGTCAAGGGGACATCACAGATGATTGACATATACCTTTTCAGTTTGCACTTAGAAGTTGGCACTCTGTGTGGTACTTTGTGATACACATGGATGAAATTGCCTAATAACATATTTCTCAGATTATATTTCCATCACATGTTACATGACTGTATTGAAATTTGAATAAAAAAAAATTTGACCTATGTGGAGTCTACTGTTAATTAGAATTTTTTCTCCAGACCACTATTTGTCCAGTATTAGTTTTGAAAATCTTTCTAAAACAAATCACATCTTCTGATGTCTTGTTAATACTTGAGAATTTTTTTAAAATTACATGGAATAAAGTCTTTGTAAATAGGGAAGGGTGGAGGGGGTGAAGGGAGGGCTAGGAATGGGGAAAAAATAAGAACCAAGATGCATCACGTAAGGGTACAATTCCCAATGAGAAATGTAATTGTGTTGTATACCTACAATGTACCAATAAAAGAATTTAATAAAGTGCAAAAAAAAAATTACATGGAAAAATGTTTAAGTACTTTTCAGTTTTGATTTGGTTGAGTTCTATTACATTTGAATATTATTATATTTTTTCCCCTTGCATTGTTTTTCTTTGAACAATTTTAAGTTTTGTATATGTGTGTGTTTAGTGAATGACAATAAAGTTATACATTAAAAAGGAAAGAAAAACTGGTGGATCAGAGAGGTGCAGCTGCAGGCATATCCCAGCCAAGGCCCCACCCTGACCCCAGGGGCTTGGGCACACAAGCCCAAGCCAAAGGGCCACCCAGGAAAGAGCTGCATAGGCACAGAAACATCAGTCAGAGGCCTGCCCTATACCATTGGTAAATTCACACAGATCCTGGTGAGTAGCCTTGTGGACCAGAGAGGTGCAGCTGCAGGCAGATCTCAGCCAGGACCCTGCCCTGACCCCCCACCACTTGGGCTAACATGCCCAAGCCAAGGGCCTGCCTGGAAAAGAGCTGCACAGGCACACAAGCGCTGGCCAGAGGCTCCCCACCATACCATCAGTAAGTGCGTGCAGTCCCTAGCCAGAATCCTACTCAGACACTAGGGTCTGGGGTGCACAGGCCCCAGCCAAGGCCCTCCCAGACAACAGCTACATAGGGGGCCAGGCCCTAGCCAGAGGCATGCATAGATACTATCCCAAATTGCACAGATGCCAGCCAGAAGCCCACCCAGACAACAGGTCAGCTCAGGAATCCAGAAGGCAACTATTCTGAAACCAGGAATTGGTAAACTGTTGAGCAGCAGAGAAAAGGCTGCTCAGTGGCTTGCTGAGAATTAAAGACCACTGGGTGAGCAAAAAGTGGCCTCAAGAAAGGAAGAGAAGGCTGTATCTGTTGAAATTAGAAGACACATAAACAAGTCTCAAAACAAGACTTCCAGATCACCTAAGGCAACCTCAAAGGGAAACAAGATGGAACAATCAGATACTCAACTACCTGGGCTCCCTGAACTGGCAAAAAAGAGGATCTGGAAAAAATGAAATCAGAAATAATTTCTCAGATAACAACTGTGTCCATAGTGCAAGACATGATTAATAACTCTAGAGAGGACACAGATAAAAAACTAGAGGAGCTGAGGAACATGAAGGAATCCCAACATAGTGAACAAATGGAATCCATACACAGATGCAAACAGATTTCCAGGAGATTCAAAACTCCACTGAAAGTTTACACAGCAGAATGAGCCAACGAGAGGACAGAATTTCAGATATAGAAGATAAGGTTGCAATTAGTGACCAGGAAAAGGAAAATTGCTTCAAAATTGTAAGGGACCATGAGAAATCATTCCAGCAGCTGCTAGATGACACAAAGAAGAATAACATGAGACTGATCAGAGTCAATGAAGAAACAGGAGAGAGTGCAGATGACATAAAAAAAAAAAAGGTTCACAAAAATGATGGCAGAAAACTTCCCAAGCAGGGAAAAAGAACTTGAAATACAGATAAGGGAAGCATACAGGACTCCAACTAGCTGGGAGAAAAAAAAAATCTACACATAGGCATATAATAATTAGATTCCAGAAACCCAACAGAAGAACAAAATTCTACAAGCATTTAGAGAAATGAAACAAATCACAAACAAAGGAAAGCCCATCAGAATCACAGCAGACTTCTCAATACAAACCCTCAAAGCAAGAAGAGCTTGGAGTGACATATTTCAAACCCTAAAG